ACACAGAGCAAATAGTTTTGTGTAACTTAGCCCATGAGATATAATTTGGGAATATATATATATATATGTTAATATATAAAGTATATATATATATGTGCTTCTCCATAGTTAAGGACTCCAGTGAGAAACCATTGAAGTTCATTCTATGAGTTGCAAATGAGGCACAGTCAATTTTTTTTATTAAATTTTTATTGTGAAAATACTGTACAGAAGGGTTACAGTTACATGAGCAAGGTAATGAGTACACTTCTTATCCAGCATTGTTGCCTCCTCCTTTGTTTTTCCCCTACCATCCTGTCCCTCTCACCTCCTCAACTACAACCCCCACCCCCACCTAAATTGTACACAATGAGATGTACAAGACGCTATGTCGAAAAACAGCCTATTTTTAGAAGTAAATCAATACTACATTGAGAAAAGCAAAAAGTCTTGATTTAAAAGATGAAATTATAAAACTCTATTATTCTTTACCAAATATCATGGAAATGAAATGAAATTCAGGACTCTGTTTTTCCAGGCTGAAATGTTTTGGGTGAAAAGAAATGGAGTTTGTGTTATGCTGTGTTGTGGCTGTCTTTGTTTTAAAGATCCAGACAGGGCTTGGATCCTTTAGTCAACAGTGAGCCCCTTGGTATGAATAGCTGGTGATTTGACATTGAATTTCTCTGTTGCTAAGAACTGGAAGTGAGGGCTGAGATCCTGCACTGAGAAAAGCTGTGAGGTACCAGCCTGGGGTGTGTTGCTGTAAAGCATGCTGGTGTATAAGCATGCTATCTATGAAGGATTAGCCAAAAGCCCAGTTTTCTAAGGGAAGGATGAATATGGCTTTCTCTTATATCTATCAACTTTGGAAGCAGTCTCATTGATTGATTGATTGGCAAGAGCATCCAGAGTCTAGCAACAGCTTGAATCCAAGAATTTCATACTTTACATTTCTTGGTTGGGATTAAATTCTCTAGGGGAGACCAGGGCAAGAAGACAGTAAGAGTGGCAGGAGGAAACAAAATTATTGTCCCTGGGGCAGGTAGAACTACATAGACAATCAAGACAGCATTTAGAATCCACCAGGGGCTCAGAAAGTAGGGCAATATTTCCCAATTGTACAGCTTGAACTTCTTGCAGCAAGATGACCTTCCCCAGACCACAGAAGCAGAATCTTTTTGATCCCTGACTGGGAATATACTTAACCCAAAACTCCCTGGTGATTTTCAAGCAATTTAAATTCTCAACTAGGGCACCAGAGATGGTTGAAATTAGATATTCACATGCCGCCCCCACCCCATTCCACTCAGGGCATCAGATAATAGGTCTTCCCCCCCACATATACAAAATTAATATGTAGTGACCATCATTTTAGTGATTGATCCAGTTCCATGCAGTGTACTCAAATACAGCCATGAACAACAAAGTAAGGTTCCAGCTCTTGTGGCACTAGAAAGACCCCATAAACAACATTGTATCAGGTACCAAGGAAGGATACAAAATGCTAAGAGAAAAATTAGGAGAAGGGCCTCTCTGTATAAGGTAATCAGAACAACTGGCTTAATAATTAGATGAAAACTGGGGCTTGAAACAATTACATGGGATGGGTGCAAGGAGCAGGTGAATTGGAGAAAAAAGGCAGGGTGTTGTGTGTTTGTAGGAGTGTGTATGTGAGGGTTTGGGTGCAGGGAACTTATGTTGCGTGAACATAAATATTCATGTGATAAAAGTAGTCACTATAAGCTTGGGACACAATTGTGTCCCTAATTTTGAGCAGATTTCTTATTTGTTTCATATTACCATAGAGAATCTACCTATAGTTCTTGAAGACATAAAGGGACAGGAGAGGGTTGCTCAATCTCTTAACAGAAACCAAGTGTGAACTATCACTACTCTGTAACCGGTGATCTGCAAACAAAAGCACCCTAAAATAGTTTTTAACCATCCAGCCTGTGTGGGTGTTCTCCAACCCAAACCAATTAAAGTGGGACCTGGGTAATTTTAGGGAAGAGAAAATGAGTATCTTCTAAAACAAGAAGCATATTCTCTATTGTATAAAAGAAAATTTAGCTTTTAGAAAAACCACACCTAGGTTTCGCAGACTTCTCTCCAGTGTCTTCCCCAGGTGGGAGAGTGGGAGGAGCAGGGGTAGATGTAGGTCTTTAAAGGATGCATTAACTCTTGCTCAGTTCTCTTGCAGGTTTGAGGCATCCATCCATTGAGCTTTGGCCATAAACCTGGAAAAGCATTAGCAGGCAGGGCCTGTGTGATTGGCTGAGGACAGCAGTTTCACTGGGAATGGAAGTCATATCAAGGTTTAGGGAGCATTCTGGTCACAGGAGATTTTTACTATCTTTTAGTAGTTATACAAACAAGTTGCCATTCACCAAAGCAGTTTATAAAAACAGTGCATCACCCATTCCAACATTCTCATCCACTATACCCAACCCACCCCTCCCCTTAGTTGTCTTAATTTTAGGTTATATATTGAAATTTTTGCCATTTATCAAAGCAGTTTATCTGTGCAATGCATCTTGATCTGTGCCATCACTTCAATATCTTTACCTCTCTCTTCAACCCACCCCATCCTTTATATTTCTCAATTCTATAGTATATACAATGGCTCTAACTCCTAATATAGCCACGCTGGGGAACTTCCACGTAAGAATTTTGGAGTGATATAATTTAACCCATAAAACAGCTCTTGGCTGCTGAGAGATAAGGGCATGGATATAGACATGACTATCCAATTACCGCTTTTAGTTTTTTTGAGGGGTATATATCCAGAAGTGGAATTGATAGGTTATCTGGTAGTCTATTTTTAATCACACCAGGGCCTACCATACTGTTTCCCCTAGAGTTTGCACCATTTTACATTACATATAGCCCATCATATTTTTTCTAAATCTTCTTTTTGAGGGACCATTCTAAGTTCAAAGGTCCTCCAATGCGAAGCTTGCAGCCTACAATTGTTTTCCTTTCTTGCCAGCTGATTGGTTACTGACCACTAAATCCTCCCACAAACTTGTTGTCCTTGCTCAACTCTGCATCTCCTCTGAAAAAATCTTGGTCATATGCTCAGCTACTGGGAAACCATCCTCTAAAGGAGGGAGGAGCCACAAAGATCGCCTGGTCTCAGGCAGGCATTACATCTGAGCTGTGAGTCTCAGGAAGCAGCCTCTGAACATTGTGTCAGATTCTGTCCCTCTTCTTGGCACAGCAGATGAAGGATCCTCAGCTGTTGAAGTGTCTGCTGCTTTCACAATGGCTGAGAATTACAGGTTTAAGACACCCTTCAGTGCTCAGCGTTTAAAACACTCATGCCAGCCCAATGGATAGGGTGTGTGGGTGGGAGTTGGTAATATGTACAAGTGGGGAGCCGGAGGTGTGAAGAAATTTAGGGCACTTTCTTATTTGAGGTAAGTGAGAGTATATATGGAGTAAAGGGTATATGCGTATAAGGCATAGGGTGTGAAAGAATTGGGTGGTAGGTAGGAGGGTTTGGTGATCTGTAAGGTAGAGGCGGATGTATGGGGCAGTTAGGAACAGGGGTGTATGTGTGAAACAGGATAAGGAATGTGAGCATTGGTATGAGAGTATAGCAGGAAGTGTAGAGGGAGACGCATGAATGTGTGTGTGGTGTGTGGAATCGGGTGTGAGAAGGGGGATTGAGTATGAGGGTATATGGGATAGGGTTTGAGAGATGAAGGTATGTTTGTGTTGAAAGAGGAGACATTTGAGGGTTAAGGTGTATGAAGGTGTTTCGGAAGGTTGGGAACAGGGGTGTGTAATAGTAGTCGCAGCAGCAGCAACAGTAGTAGTAATAGTAGTAGTAGCAGCAGCAACAGTAGTAGTAATAGTAGTAGTGGTAAAGTGAGAAGTTGGTGATGTATGTGTGTGAGGAGCAGGAACAGGGTGAAGGATGGAGTGTCCACGAGGCAAGAGGTGAAGTAGGGTGCGTGGATGTAGGAGAAATAGGATATGTGGAGGGTATGTTGTAAATAGGAGCACGGGTGTGTTCAAAGGTTATAGTAGGAAAGAGAGCAATTGCTCTACACCCCCACCCCACCCGTGACTCCGCTGGTTGGATCAGGAGCCAGGTGGGTGGAATTGCTCTGAGAGCTGCAGAGTTTTCCCTGAGTGAGGGAGCAGCACCCAGCCAGAGACCCAGGCATGACTCACTCTCACCTGGTTGGGAGAATGAATTTACAAGGCATCTGCATCATGGTAGGCTATGTGCGTCAGTCTGTATGACTTTGTTCTTACTAAGAACACAGGAGAAATCACAAATGAGAAATGAAGGAGGTGAGTGAAGTGGGTGGGAAGGAGCTTGTGCTGGGGGCTGTGAACAAGAAATTTCTTCTCCTTCAGTAGTTGGCTATTGCTAAAAGACCAGGGTTATCTCTCAGCTCTGCTGTTGATATAAGGTAGCTGCACCGTCCCATGGAAGAGGAGTAACTTTAGGAGACATGCAGCAGCAGCAGCAGCACACAGCCTGGATAAGGAGTTCAGAAGCCCCTCCCAGATGCCAGGCGGTCTCTGCAGCAGTAACTCTTTGTGCACTGCGGTTTGCTGCAGTCCGATCACTGGAGGGACCATGGCTTTTATGAATGGTAGGCTGGGAGGGGCCTAATGGCATCGGCTACTGATGTCAGCACGATGAATGAAACAACTTGCAAAGCGTAAAGCCTCAGCACTTGGGAAGCAGCTACCTTCTGAGATTGGTTTTCCAGATACAACGTCTCTTGCTGACGAAATCACCAGCCCCATGTGTCAGAGATAATCCACATACATTAGGATTTAAATGAAACAGAAATTGGAACTGCGGGTGGAATAATACGCATCTGATTCAGGCACCACCAGGTCCCCCCCCCTCCGCCCCCCTCCTTGAAGCAGCTGTGGCCAGTAGCGATCCTCCTCCTGGCAAGCACCGAAGAAAAAGGCCGCGGGAGCTGCAGACCCACCGTTGTGTGTTAGGCTTCTACTTAGCTGGCCTGATGTTCTGTTTTTGCTGGCAGAATTCCTTGCTGAAGCTCCAAGCCCTCGAATCTGATGTGTGCTCTGCATTTTTGACAAACCAGGAAGAAGCGGCTCAGGTGCCTGGAGTCAAGGATCCAGTTCCAGCATCGACCCAGAGTGTGCCTGCCGAGGGGGAAGATTCTGCAGGTAAGGGGCAGGGGCAGGGGGTGTCCCAAATCGAACTCTGCAGATAGTTCTGCCTCTACTGCTTCATCCTCCACCTGGGTCCCTGAGGGAAACTATGTAATGTGAAAGATCAGGTATTACCCCAGAGAGAGCTGAAAGGGAGCAAGAAGAATTGGGCTTTGCTGTGATCTCTGGCTGCAGTCAAGAGTCAGACTTCATGTCAATGGGTATTAGGGAAAAGCATCCGTCACAACTTCTCATTTTCATTCTCCTATTTGGTCTCCTGTAACAACAAAATGTGATCTGTTATTTTATATCACCGGACTTTGATCTTCTATGCCTGGCATATTTTATCTTTAAGGTGTTGAGGGCTGAATTCCTTCTCTGTTACAGAAACCCTTAACAGTTTATAAGAGGACCCATCCATACACGAAAAGTGCAGAGGATTGCTCCACAGTTCCTACACTGTTGTTTGTTTCTTGTTAGTTTCTGTTTCTTGTTCTTTTTCTCTTTCTCATTCTCTGTTTCTGTTTCATTCTCCTTCATCTCCATTCTCCTCCCTCTTTGCCATCTGTTTCTCTTTCCTTCCACTGAGTTCCATGTTATAAAATCTCAAAACTGAGTTTCAATTTTTTTTGTTTGGGTTAGTTTCTCTTGTATCAATCCTGGGGATGGTAGTTTGGCTTACAAACAGAAGGCCAATTAATGTTCCTAGGAAGACTTCAGGAAGAAAGAATCACTCATTTTTTTTCACCAGTGGAAATGACAGTAGAGCTTACATTTTCTAACAAATGTGTCAGAGGCTTTCCAACTGCTTTCTGAATGGCTGGTAGAAGAACGAGGCTTAGGTGAGTTTGCTTCATGAGAGGATCATAATCTCCAGGAGTTGAAAGAAATCATTTACTGTTTCAGTACCAAGAGCAATACAGTTAAGTTACTACTTAAAACAGTTCCACGTGATCAAAACAGGCAAAACAATCCTCTCCAAGATTGGAACATATATTATTAATAATAGTAGCTAACATGAGCTACTAAGAGTAGCTATTATTATTTGTTTAAAATCTAAGCACTTTAAAAATTAAGTACTTTCTATAGAATGTATTAAACCCACAAAATGACCTGTGAAATAATTATAATAAGGGATATTGAGATCTATGATAATGTTGCTGGTAAGTGATAGATTATTCTTTGAATATGCATCTTTGGCTAGCTGACTGTGTTACATGGTAAGCTAGCCTACTCTGTTGGACATTGTGTTTGGATAAGATGTAAATAAAACTTAGCAAAGTCCCAATTAGAGATTCAAGTCAGATCTTTTTAGACAGAAATACTTTTTCCCCCAAACCCTAAATTCTACCTCTTTCAAACAAATAGCATACAAAAATACATAGAATATCTTCAACCACATACAAATGGACTTCGGAATCATCAAATGTTTTGGATTAGATACATAAATAGCAAAAATATTCAATATTTGTTGTATGTTAAATATAAATACATTTTTTCTTTTTGAGACTGCTATATGCATTTCTAAATATCAAAAATATTTTGCATGTTTTATTCTAGATGAACAGGATTTTGAACATGCTTATTAGTTTTCCTTGTCAAGCAGAAATACTGAGTTTATGTAGACCGGTCACAGAAAGGAGCCAACAGTATTTTCATGTTAAATATCAAATTGAAGAAATGTGTAGAAGGCTCTTTTTAATTTTTTTGAAAAATTTTTAGCTAGTAGTCTTTCTTTTTCTTTTTTAAATACTTATTTATTGTAAAAATACTGTACAGAGGGGTTACAGTTACATGAGCAGGGTAATGAGTACATTTTAGAGGGAGGTTTGCGGATTGGATGTAGATAAATCAGATGTATCCCAAAGCTTTTCCATGGAGTATAGACAACCATTAAATAGGGATACAGGTGGACCCATTGCAACAATGAGACGTACAAAATGCTATGTTGAAAAATGAACTTTACAACTTTGGCGGGGGTGGGAGGGTGGTGTAGTCATAGAGATGGGAGGGAAGGGATGGTAGGAAAAAACAGAGGAGGCGGCAACAATGCTTGATAAGAAATGTACTTATTACCTTGCTCATGTAATTGTAACCCCTCTGTAGGTATTTTCGAAATTAAAAAAAAACATTAAAAAAAGAATTTCTTCATTTGGCAAGGATATTACCAAATTGAAAAACATTTGTGGGATTCTTTCACAATTTATATTATGGAATGGTTTGGTCTCATTGGTTTCTAAGGTATACTTTTAGACGAGAAAGGTCATATATTCCCTAATCCCTATGTCTCCCAGAAAAGAGAACTTTATACTTAGATGACTAGTTCTTAGTTGGATACTACAGCTCTAAATGGTTTTCTGGAATTATATATTACATATGTATTATTATGTATTGTATTATATATGTGTTATATATTATATAATATATTACACATTATATATGTGTACATATTATTTATTATATATTATAGTGCATATGTGTTTGTGTGTGCACATGCCAGCAATGTGCTTGAATTCAGGGTCTGGGCATTGCCTGTTAGCTTTTTTACTCAAGGTCAGAGCTCTATGACTTGAGCAACACCTCTACTTCTGTCTTTCTGATGGTTCAGTGGAAATAAGAGAGTTAGGGACTTTCCTGCCCAGATTGGCTTTAAACCATAATCCTTAGACCTCAGCTTCCTGAGTAGCTAAGATTGCATACAGGAACCATAGGAATCAAGCATAAAGAATGGCTCTGTGTGTGTGTGTGTGTGTGTGTGTGTGTGTGTGTACCTGGAAAGAGTGCAGCTGCATAAGATTAGAACAGATGGCCTTAAGCCCATACAAAGTATAAAAACTTGAAAGATTTACCTTCTTAAAGTCCTGAATCTAACATGTACCTGAACCTTACATGTGCATAAATATTCAGATGTTAATAGTTAATGCCAATGATGAGTATAACAGAGACAAAAATCAATTTTATAGGAATATTTGGACATACTGTGCTGCCAGTTAACTCATAATGGGAAAACATTCATAAATATGAATTGATGTCATTTAAATAAAGGCACTAAAATCACTTTAGACTTGATTAAACATGATTTAAGTTATTTAACCTTCAGAGCAGACTTTTCATATAACATTCTAAGCAAAGTATAATGAGCTGTATGTCTTAAAATTAAAATATTGGTATTTAATTGGGGATTATGAGTTATAAAGATGTTTCTTATCTAGTAAGATACCTTAAATGCTATACTATTCTGGAAATCAAATTACAAACTCTGTCTACAGCAAGAACACATTTTATGGCACCCCATAGGAACACAGTGTTTTTTAGTAGGTTCTAGAGCCTTTCTATACAATATAATCACCAGGAAGCTTTTCTAACATGAAGACTTTTGGACTTCATTTTTAGCCAGATCTGGGGTAGAGGTCTTGGAATCTGCATATTTTAAACACTCCTGATTATTGGGATCCACTAGACAAGTGGATAGTATCTTGAATTAGGAGGGAATGTGTCAAGTTTTCTTTTTTTATTTTTTATTGTGAAAATACTGTACAGAGGCGTTACAATTACAAGGGCAAGATAATGAGTACATTTCTTATCAAGCATTGTAGCCTCCTCCTGTGTCAAGTTTTCTGTAACTCTGCTCTACCTCAATATTATCATTGATGAGAAGCTGGCAGACCAGATGGGACTTAAAACTCAAGGTCTGATGCCAACCAACCTAATCCATTTACATGATAAATAGGGTACTCATGTACCAAATTCATAGTCTGAAAACAGAGGATTTGAGGATATGGACAAGCGTGGAGTGATAGAGAAGTTTGAAGGCTACACAAGCCATTAGAGAAAAGTAGTTGAGAGGGAGCCAGCCGCAAGGCATTATGGGAGCTATACAGAGATGACAAACTGTCCTTGGCTTCTCAGGACAGTCCCATTTTTAGCATGGCAAAATCTGCATGCTGAGAATTCCTCACTCCTAGGCAATCCAGGACAATTGGCCACCCTACTTTGTAAATTGAAAACTGTGTAATGTGAGATAGAAACTGTTAACAAGCTAAATCTTGGTGTCTCCTCCAGATTCATATGTTGAAATTGAAATCCCTTGTGATGCTTATTAGAATAGAGGGTCTTGGAATGCATCCATCCTGAGTGGTGTTAGTACTGTTATAAGAAAATCTGAGAAAAATGAGTTTGTCTGTTTGCATTAGCCACCCTGCAGACAGAGAGAGGTCCTTCCCCTGAACCTGACCAAGCTGACACCCCACCTCAGACTCACAGCCTCGCAAACTTTGAGACGTCAACTTCTCTTGTTTATAAACTACCTAGTCTTACAGTAGTTTGTTACAATAACCCAAACCAACTAAGACAGAAGCCTACATAATAGGCCCCCCAATCCCTCTCACTGGATCAATAGCCTCTTACAGCTGAAATAAATGTTTCCTGCATAGCATTAGGGAACATTTATTCTGCTGCCATTGAATGGAAAAATGGAATGGGAATTGTCTTTTTAACTGCTTGTCATTTCCAAGTGTGCAGCAGGATTGTTTGACATTCCACATGACTACACACAACTCTTGTTCTGTCTCACTGAGGATGATTGATAGTATGGAGGATTTAGAGAAAATTGTCATCAGAGATAACTGGAGATCTATTATGAGAAACAACAGTTCTGCAGCAGTACCTGTTTAATTCCTTTTTTTCCCCTATCTTGATTTACAAATCAAAAATTTCATTTGGGTAATATATTAGTATAGTATGTCTATTTAGTTTACTTTTCTCATCACATTGTTTGTATCATCTGTAGGTCTCCTTATTGTTGAGTTTCAAGAAGAACTTGATCTTCTCTTTCATATTTTGTCCACTTAATCAGACTTTTTAAAATTTTATTGTAAAGGTGATGTACAAGAGGGGTTACAGTTATATAAGTAAGTTATTGAGTACATTTCTTTTTGAACAGTGTTACCCTTTTATTTTCTCCTGTTTTCACTCCCCCAGAACTCCCCCCCCCGCCTCTGAAGTTCATTTCCAAT